GTGTATACATTATGTACATCTCTCTTGGAGCATTATATTGGATGAATTCTCCTTTCTTTTACTTATACCCAACTTAAAAAATATCATCTCTCTGTGATTTATAAACGTTTGTATGTATAGATGTACTCGGCACAGCTATTTGGACCAAAGAAACTTATTTTAACCAGATTGAGAAAGATCTAGTAAAGAGAGCAGAGAAACAAAAACGATTCTAACTTGCTTAATAAGTTAATCTGTTGATTTTAGAAAATCGAATAGAATAAAGGGGAAGCAGAGAGTATGAGGATAAGTGTACAGATTTTTTAGGAGACAGATAAGTTAACTAATTGATTACGTGAAGAAAGAAAATTACGCAACATTTGGTAGATCGATGTACTGAATTATCAGGTTAGAAAAAAATCTTGCATGATGACTGGGTCAACCGCAAACAAAAGAGCTCTTACAGCGAGAAAAAAGTTTTACAGGTAAAGAAGAGCGTTGAATTGATTCTTTCGTGATTTTTTTCGACTAGAAGCCAAACTCAGACATTTTAAATATCCTAACAGGATTATAACGATTTTTCAGAAAAAATTGGTCCTATCCTTCATACTAAAAAGTTTTGATAGTTTTCATCATATGCAAACGATAACTGTTTGCTTTTTTTTGGGGTATCGAAAACAACATAGAATTTGTTATGGAATATAATAACGAACTAGCTGAAACGTATATAAATGGCTAAGATGCTAAGATGTTTTTCCGAGAAAAAATGGATTAAAAATGCAGGTATCAAATACCATTAAGATTTTACCGACTAAATCAAATGTTCAGTAAGTTTTCGTGGTTCTACATACTCAAAAAGCAATCTGGTTGTTATCATTTTGAGGTACATAAGAGATAAGTTGAAGTGAGCATGCTGGATTATTTCATTAAAGAGAAACTTTTTGAAGGATAAAATTTCTTGCATCTTTACATCATTCATTCAAGTGTTGTATTTTTAGTATCTTTTGAGTTCATACGTAATTTTAAAGCTAAATAAATAGGCGACAAAGCTTATGTGTCAAATGAATCTATTTGTCTCCAAACATTTCAAAGAGACGAAAACTTTTTTGAGAGCAAACATGTTGAGGCATACTTTATGCCATCTTCAGTGCGAAGTAAATAGGAATGGCGTAAAGTAGGCCGAAACATGTTTGCTCTTAAAAAATTTGTCGTATATTTGAAATGTCTAATGACTTTTGTGCTTCTACCCAAATTATGAAAGCGGTATTTGTCTTTATTGAAACATGAAAATGACTTCTGTGATCAACTTGGGATATTTGATGTGAAATTGTATGAAGGCTAAATGCACAAAAGCTCGTGAAGATAAATGTTTTAACACTGAACCAAGGGTTTTATGGTTAGATGAAATTTAGATTCCTCACCATGCTATGGTGATGTAGTAACTTGCTCATATAAAGTAAAAATTATAAGCATGCATGTAACTATTTGCATGACTGAAGATTACTATTATATTCTCTTTTTATTATAAAATGGTCTTTCATATTGTTCCAGAGCAGATGTTTGTCCAAGTATATTCATTATCTTCCCAACGCGCTGTCTTTTTTTCCGACTCACCTGCGTCTAACACAACCAAATTCATTACTACATGTATGATAATGAAATTTAGCATTGAATGAAGTGAAAAATGAACTATGAAAGATTATCTGCAGGAAGTTAACGAAGGCAATACTTTCATCGGAGAAAACTAACACTGGTTGTAGGAGACTAAAAAGCACGACGTTTAATTACAGACAAATTACTTGTAGGAAAGATAAAAGTTTCTTTTTTACTATAAGCCCACTTTCCTGATAATAAGTATGGCAGGAATTTTCATATGGAAAGTCTTAAAATCCAACTGTAGCTATAAAAAATGACTTAATAATTTCAATGGTATTTTAATAAAATGAACTTCTATTGTCTTTAAATAGTCATGTGGCGACTGTTCGGAAATCGAATTTTGAATTTTTGAATCGAGACGAATGTTGAAATTTTTGATATTTTTTTTTGTAGTATATGCGAACCATGCTCTTTGAGACAATTCTTGACAAAATTCAAGTAAACACTAACCACGACAATATAAGAGCAGTAAAGTTAACTTATGCAGTTAAAATTTATTTCTGCAACAAGTCTTCATAGGGTTTTATCTGAAAACGTTCGTCGTAGAAAAATAATTGATTGTTTTACTGTGTTTTATATCAACTGAAAACACTCATTCAGCAAGACATTGCCAGTTACAGATATCTATTATCGCGGTTAAAGATAAGGTTATGAACAACTCTACAGATTATTAACCGCGATACGTTGCTTTTTCAATCGAGCCACAAATCTTTTTTCCGAACCCAAGGCGACGGCTCCCGACGTCATTACAGCTGTATTTCAGGTTTTCCGTACAGTGATCTGCGTCTTTTAAACCAGTTTTCAAATTAATATTAAACTTGTTCGCCAACGACTTAGCTAAATTTTACAAATGTACATAAAAGTCTTCGCTACGTTAAATTTTTCACAAACTGTAAGCTGTAATAGACAATTATTGTAGAACGTTTGGTACGGCTAATTGCCCGTGTATACTCTGCTTCAGTATGTTAAATTATTTTCCAACTTGTTTTGCTTTCTTTTTATTCTTAAAATTGCTAAATTTATAGTAGAGGAGAGGTTTCAGACTTGATGATAAGTCAAATTGATGAATTTCTGTCAATTAAAAAAGGAGAAATAGAAAGAAGTTGCCTCCATTTTGACTCTTAGATAGCAGTTTCATTACTGATCTACCAAACTCCTTATTTTACCGAATTTATATGAAAACATAAATTCGTCTTCAAACTTCTAGGAAAGTTTCAAAGCTTTCCATACAGGCTTATAAAAATGTTGTCAAGCCATCTACAATCCAAGTTTCGTCTGAAAATTTGCCTTAATATGGCAAATTAGCCCTAATTTCATGTTTTCGTTCACGATACTCTTGCCTACAGATAACAGGTCTTTTGTTTGGCGCAACGTTTGGATGGTGGACAACAGTAGTGAAAGGGATTTGAATTATAAACGCATTACCAATCACTCAATCCCTGATGCTCCATCATGATTCACAGAAAATCCATTCGTCTGTGAAAGTGTTCCTATGCATACCAATATGTACATACGTATCAGGTTCCCTTTTTCGTTTCGATTGATGTCAAAATGGCGTATATCAGCCGGCGTTTTTCTTCGCAGTTGAGTACAGGTCAACGCGTTTTTAACGCTTTTCGAGAGTGGTATTTAAATGCAAGTGGATACAGACAGTTAGGTAAGTGTAGAAGAATGCTCTTTACTCAAACAAACGTTTAAATTGTTATTTACACGAAGGATATTTCTTCCTCTATTCTACTGCTTCAATTTCAGCAGTTAAAAATTTTGATACTTGGAAGTTGTATGGAAACCAACTGCCAGTCTGCCATTGCCAGCTTGTGTGAGAAACCCTGAAATTTGCTGTGTTTCGCCTATATTTTTGTTTGTTTTGTGTTGGAATTTAGTCAATATACAGTTTTATTTTTCTTGAATGTGTGTAATGACTGATGAGGACTCAAGACTGTACATAATGGACCCCGCCGCCATTAGTCCTTAAAGAAAGGCTTGGTATTCTGAATGATGAGGAAAATAATACCTCCACTTTCTTAAATACCAACACTCTTAATAAATTACTACTATCCTTAGCATCTCACCCTAAAACCCATAAAGATAGCATCTTCTAAGCTCCTTGGATGTTCAAAGTTCTGGATATCCTCTGACTAAAGTTCTCTGATTTTTTATTCTTTTGAACTGTGCAACTTGCCCTTATTGTGTCTATACACAGTGGAGGAAGTTATGAATCTTTTTTAAAATGACATGTACAGTCTGAGATATTGTAATTGTGACACTTTAAAGCTAGTCATGAAGATATTTGTGTACCTTTAAGTGTTTATACAAGTATCAAATTGTGAGAAAAAATATAGAAATTGAAATAAATGAATAGAAAAAAATTGTCTCCTTAAGTATAGTATACTAAATCTATTTTGCTTGGGTTGCTTACTCAGTGACCAAATCAACAATTTAATTCAAATTTACAATATCAAGAATTGTTTATGTACATATAACAACAACTATCCAGACTGTTAAGTGTTGAAAAACACCATTGTTAGCCGATTATCTCCCCGTCTTAAATGAAATGTCTTCTTTATTCATCAGGTTTGCGAAGAGATGATTTAATGAATGATGAAGACACACCTGAGTTGACTGAAGCAGTTCGTCGTTTGTCAGAGGAAGAGCGTAACATGAGAATGTTTCGTGTTAAACGTGCCCTTGATCTCTCTATGAAACATCAACTGTTGCCAAAAGAGGAATGGACAAAACCTGAAGAAGTAAGGAAAACTTGTCATTGGTAACCCTATGATATAAAGCTTGCACAGAAACATCCATAAACTACGGGCATACTTGTATGATATGTTTTATTTAATATTTATTATATGGCAAGCATCACTTCCAGCAAAATGGCATGCTTTGATTGGCTCAAAAACACATTTGCCGGTCCATTAATTTCCCACGATTGACCACGGACTAAAATGCATAATTTTACTGTCAAATGTAAACAAACTTCGTAATACAAACACAAGAAAAACAAAACAAAAAACCATTTACGAATGCGATTCGAGGGAAAAACAATGGGAAAACAGTTCAACTTTCTATACAATACAATTTGAAATGATTTAATTTTTACTGATGAAAACTATAAAAGTGAAAGCCAATTCGTACCAAACAGCAAGGATGAGAAAGAAAGCAAGCTTCATTTCAGGTCAAATAATGCCACATAATAATCCTTTTAATAACCTCGTTTTTTCCATCTTTACTGAGCTCTGGACCTCTGTCTTTTTGTACAGACCAAGGTCCAGAGCTCTGAAATATCGGACCTCTGTCTTTTTGTACTCGGTTCGTTATTTCTCCATAAAGACCTCACGCTTGCTTATTAAGGGCTTAGTAAGTATATGTCTAATTCAGTTTAAATAAGAATTATTGGATGAAGTATTTTATATTTTTTTTCATTATATATCATGTAAATGCTTGCAGAGCCTGGCACTTGTTATAATAAAGTATAGAAAATGTTAATTTTTGTGGTTCATCCATATGTTTTCACATAAAGTTACCCTAGCTGAGAATAAATATCCTAGGAATAACAACGGAATTACAATGTAGATGTTACACATTTGAACGAAAAATTGCCCCCACAATGCTTGATATTTAAAGTAGTTAACTTGAGATTTACTCAAATATTCATGGTCATGGCAACAACCAACTGTATGTACAAGTAGCAATTATGGAATAATTAGCTTGCTCTGTCACAAATTTTCAGATAAATCATTTGCGCATGCGCAGTGTGCTTGAGCATGCACAGTCGATTTGACCAGCTACTCAAGTCATGCTCATGGCAATGATCAACTGCATCTACTAGCACCGATTTTGAAGTAAATAGCATGCTTTGTAACAATTCAAGAGAGAAATTATCTGCGCATGCGCTCGAGCATGCGCGATCCACTCGAGTAAATGTTAATAGTCATGGCAATATATATAAAGCCAATACTAGGTATAGCAGATGTCAACTAGTAGTGGAAGCTGGGTGTGATATAGTATGCAGTGGCTTAGGGGCCCACATTTCGGTGGCGACCGCACTCTCCCTGCGTACCCCGAGCAAAGCCTATCGCAGGTGATCTCGGGGTCTGATGGGCGGAAGCTTGCTATTGCATCTCCCAAGTAGGATAGCGTGGAGGAGCTGAAATCTCCTACCGAAACGTTAACATGCGGCGTTCTAGTGCCTAACGCTTAAGAAGGTATCGGGAAGCATGGCCCGAAAACGGGCTTTTTTGCTTTCGAATTTTATCTTTTTGTTTACAAAATAATGCAATTAATTTCTTCTGACACTGTTCCTTTTCCTGACACTTATAATTTAAGACAACCTTAAACATGTTTTATACAATTTTTTTGGTTTGATTCTCTCATTTACTGTTTCTCGTGTATCACGAGCAAACCATCCATGGGCTTCATGACAGACAAAATTATCTGGTTCCCTTGATTAGCACGAGACGCTCTAGTGCTCAACCATCTCGGGGTATCGGGAGGCATGGACCGAAAACGGAATTTTCATGTTTTCAAAATTTGTCGTTTTCTGTACAAGAATTCTCAAAAAAGAAACTAGAACATCCAAGGATACTGCAAAGGCTCAAACAACTTCTGCCTTTTGTAATGCTTGATATTCAAACCATTAAAATAGAAAGCTCTAAACTAACTAATCAATATGCTTGTTTTCTTTCAACAATTTCATGGAGCATGTTAATAAAAATATTCATTTTTAATATTTCAGGATATTGAGTACCTTTCTCCAATTCTTGAGGAAGTCAAGGCTGAAAAGAAAGAGCGTGAAAGTTGGAATTGGAAGTAAAAACTTTGAGCATGTTGGATAAGTATGATTGAAAATATTCATGTTGATATTAGCAGTGGTACGAATGAAATTTTATTCAACTATGTTTGAATATGAGTTTTGAGAAGGCCGGGTGTCTTGTAAAACATTTATTCTTAACCTCATATGTACATCTTCATCTTGATTACTGTTAATGTTACTTAGTATTTTGTCAAGTTTTTTGTGAAAATTGGTCATTTGTGGTCATATATATAGACAGGGTTTATTTCATAATAAATTGCACCTGTATTGTGCAATTGGATGAAATATGTATGCTGTCAAAACAAGTTTTACTTAATAGGTCTAAGTTAACTAAGTTGCTACAATTTTACAAAAGAGTCTTTGAAAAGTATGGGTTCAATGACTAAAAATTGGCTCAAACAATACGTGCCAATTTTGTTACGAGATTGTTGCGAAATTAATTGTAATTGTTTAATCTACGAAAAATTTGCTTTGATCTGTAGATATTGTCGGCTTTTGACGTTAAAGAAAATACTTTCAGGAACTGAAAAAATTCTAGAAATGATTATAGCCTTCCTTTATTATAAATTATCAAAGTTTTCCCTTGAAAGTGCGTGTCCCCATGTCACGTTTTTTTGCATCGTCATAATCTTAATCAACGTCCATATTATCATTAGCACGTACTCAAAAATACGAAATCTTGCACGAATTTAATTTAGCATTCGAGTTTAAGCTAGAACTTTACCACAAAAGTTGAAACTTTGGGGAGTTAACTAAAATAACTTCACATTTTTCATGAGAAATTGCTTCTTTGGTGCATTTTAACGAACTATGGCGAAAGATATGAATAACTTTTGTCCTTCTTTGACTTTATCTTCTGAAAAATTTATCCTATGTTAAAGTTAAAAAGGATACCACATATTACGAGAAATCTGTTTGACTTTACAATCAATGAAAATTTCAGTTAGAATAATTTTTTATTACAAAATGCGATAATTTTAATTACATGAAACAACGTATTTGTTAAAATGGAACAACACTAAGCAATAAATTGACGAACGAAGTTAAAGTTACTGGTGTTGTATCTATAAATTAAAGCATAAAACGTTTTTATAAATCTCTTTTCACTATTCTAAATACTCTTACATCTCTTTGGTTCGTTATTTTGTACAATGGAATTTTTTGCCTCCAAATAACTAAAATGCCAAATTTTATGCATTTAATGCTAACATTATGAATTTCAGTCATTCCTTTCAAAAGAAAGTATTGGTGATTATAATAAAATGAAATGAATGTAGAAATAAGGCATTTTTAAAATCCCAATCATGTAGTCTTTTACTATCAATCAAAGACTTTTTTGTAAGTTATATTGAGTAGCTGTTAAATGTTTTGCAGTTTTTCTCTATGAGTGGTGAATACCTTAGTCAACGAAAATGGTTTGATACAGTCACACTTCATGCACGGTTGCCAGTGGAACGTTGTAGCTAATTTGTTATTTAGGAAAAATCCTTTACCCACAATGAATGTTTCACAGAGCAATACAAACATTTTATTCGACTTTCCTTGGCGTTGGAACTTCTTTTGCATTTGGCCTAGAAACCGCTTTCTTTATGTGAAATGAAATGTTTGTGAAAACTTTCCCAATAGTGTTCTGTGTTTTTTCAGTACTTTTATCCGAGAGGGTGTCATCATGAATCGTAGACGTCTCATTGTTTTGTTTATCAGCTACATTATCGTCGTTGCTCTTGCGAGAAACACGAACATGTTTTCTTCCGTTTACTCGTCGAACTTCTATATTTACAACGCCATTATTATCACGTTTGTTTTCCGAATATTTAACATAAAATTCTTGTGATTTTATCGTGTTTTCTTTCTCAAATAGTCGCTTTATTCCTCTGGTCATTCGATCGCAGTGATGAGCATTGTCCTGTGTTGTTAATTCCATGTTAGATTAAAATCACCAATATTTTATTTCAAACTGTTGGTTCTTTTCTGTTTGTCAACCTGTTTCAATGTTGCAAGTTATTGCGAGTTACATCAAGTTGACGACTGCAACGTATAGATTTCATTGCACGCAAATAGCGGTATGTCTCCTATGTGAATTCAACACAACACACATAGCAGCGATATTTGCACTTGAATAGCCCCCACGGGGTGCGAAATATTTAATTGCCGGAATATGCGGCTTTTTAATTGCCTAGTCAACACGTAGTGTTCCAAAACATTTTATTCTTAATAGCTTGGCGTTTTTATGAAAATAATTGCATCAGCGTAGGTTGAATGTTTTTTTTTGTGAAAAATAGTTCTTAATATTTGAATTTGTCGATACATTAAAACTTGTTCTCGTTGCTGTTGTAAAAGAACAATAAAAACAATTACGTTATTCATAATTATTTAACTTTTTTCAATTTGAACGTTAAATGGAAGTTATTGTTTTTTCAAATAATTAAAATTGAAATGTCATGAGAGCATGTATAGAGATGAATTTTATAATATGGCCGTACACTGTAATTTGTTCATAGTTATTAGATCTCTTTGAGACAAAGGATAGCAAATAAAAGGTACAGTTTATAACAGTTGCGTGCGTTTATAAATTCTAAGCGAAGCAGAAAAAAGAAAAGTGGAAGAAAAAAACAAAAGATATTATAGTCGTCTTAGCTCTTGAACTACTTCTGATAAAACGAAAGAAATAGAACTATACTTGAGAAATTTCTTGTCATCTGTGTTTTCATTGATCTCGTAATTATCGATTTGACACAAAATAGTGCAATTTAGGTTCATTCAGAATCCTATATATTGCAGTATATACCATGTATTAAGGGGAAATGTGCCCATTATAACAATTATGTGCCCATTACAATAACGTTTTCACCCCCCATTAATCGTACTTTAAAGGAAAATACATGAAACAAATGAAATGAAAAAACAATTTAAAAAACAGCATAATTTCCGGAATATTTAATTTATTGCATTGGTGATATAACATGTTACGAAATCATAGAAATACACTGATACATTAGGTTGACGGTAATCACTGTACAATCCATGAAGTATCGTAACGACAACTAGTGTAAGCTAGGGACTGAGTTTTCAGAGTTCTACGACATTAAATCTCTGTCTCTAACTTCGGAGTAACGTGCACGCATCTTCAACAAGTTTAATGACGTCCCTCGCCTTGTCAGTTGAGCCACTATACGTTGTAATCAATATGCCATATGGTAGGTTGCATATGATCAAACCACTTCTTCGTTTCTCGCTCATACCATACACGCTGAAATAAGATAACAGCTGCACTTAATATTTCTCTACAAATATTTGTTTTTCATTTTAACGGTCCATAATTTCTATGAATTTTCTTAGATAAGATCATGTATACCTTCCAATAACCAACCACTCATACCTAGATAAAGTCTTTTTGTAAACCTTGTAATGTATTTTAACGTTGTCTTCTTTCGTCAAAGTAAAACCTTTCCGGCAAACATCGTTCTCTAAAAAGTTTCAAGTTGGAATTTTCAGTGAAACATTAAAACTTGAGTATCTCAGGTTCTGTTGGACCCAGTTTTCTAGGTCGTGTTTACCTCCACCAAAACTCACAACACACTTATTTTATTTCCTATATCACAGATTGAACGACTGCTCATTTATTTTCTTCAGGTCATTCATGGATGTATTCATGTCTTATTAGATATTTTAGATAAAATAAGAGAAAAGGCTATTCGTTTCCATTCATCACAACCAATACTCACATCAGTGACATATTTTTCATTGCCTAAATATGCTCTGAAAAACCATGAGCCCGGTGGTGGTTGTGATGAATGATTGTCACTATAGTCTTAATTTTTACCCAATAATTTTTTTTTAGTAATGTTCAAATACTACCCTATCCTTTTCAATGTTTACGTATATTCATTGACTATTGCTTTTTCAGTAGATAGTTAAAAGTTGCCATCTATTTTTGAAAACTGTCTTCATCACCTTGTTTTTCAGAGATTGTGTTAAAAATATCTTTGAACTGAAGGCACTGTTGCTAGATTAAAGGAAAGAAAGATGTTGGTTGTGCAAAAGGGAAAATTTACTCAAGGACACAACTAAACAAGGAACTTATGGGAAAGAGAGTTGGAGTGAGCTTTGTTTAGCATAATGCGTCAATTACAATTGATTGTTATGATGTTAAAATAAACTTTTTTTAGCTGATGTGTAGCATGTGGTTTTTCTACTTTGGCTTTGTCTTTTAACCAAGTTTGTAGATGTAAATCTTCAGAAGATGACTACCGCTAAGGTTGTCAAAACACCAGTTGTCAACACTAACACAAACAATCCTCTAACTTGGATAATCTACATCTACAAACACGTAACAATATTCTAGGGTACAAACCATTTTCTTTGAACATGTTTTATAATCAAACAAACAACCAATAACCATTGATTTTAGTGGGTGAAAATACCAAAGTCATCATAGAATGCCTCCCATTTTCCAAAATGGCAGTTCTAGTTGAAAAATGCTAGTTTTCACACTCTTTTTTAAAACATACATTATCCAATATTCCACCCCAAGAGTAAATCAATTCACCATACTTTGTAATCAACATGATGCTATCAAGTACATTCATTTTCAGCAGATTATCTAAATTTATAAAAAAGGAACAAATTGTTTATCTTATTTCTTATATGAAATCAACTTTAGTAGTGTCTGTGTTTGATAGAAAAGCTGGGCTGGCACACACGTATATCCAAAATGTACTAATTTGTACACTCTTGGCCCCTTGCTTTCTGTCCATAACTTTGCATTTTTCAAGCAAGCTTTAATGTGATACAAATTAACATGCATTATGACAACTGACTGGAGTGACGGACTGATTATTTATTGTGATTATGAAATGCTTTGGTTGGTTGTGTGAACTATTATGTAGAGTGGAAATATATGGAACAACATGCGATGTTATTATACATTACAAGTACTACCACTTCTATGTTGTTGGTCATAAGTGTGTATTGCTTGCTTCATCAAAGTTTGATAGTGACCAGTGACCACTGACACAATGTCAATTATTTTTAAACATTAAAATGTACCGTCGACTTTTAAAAGCATTAAAAATGATAGGTAAGCTACCTCGAACAAAATCTTCCCACGATAGCAACGAACCCATCTTATTAAGTAAATATAATCTTTCCTCTCAACATCACTTTTTTTCCACCACTATAGTTAGCCTTAACGCAGGTAGGCATTAAATTCCTACATAAGCAGGCTGTAAATTCCAAAGAAAAATATACTATTTTCGGTCAGTTTTATTGCCAATGTAGATTTTTTAACGTCGAAACTGGTAGTTTAGACATTTTTTCAAAGGTAACAAGTATTCGAGTTTTGTTTTGAGAGATATTAATAATTGTTAAATTGGGAAGAAAAAAGGAGCCTTTGGAGAGAATTGAACTCTCGACCCCTGGTTTACTAGACCAGTGCTCTAACCCCTGAGCTACAAAGGCTTGCATGCAAGCGGGGAAAGTTTATAATATAAAATAGTGTAAAACAATTTGTCTTTTTATTGCTCTTTTTGTTCATTTTTTCAAAACATTAATTTTTTTTAACGGCACATGACCATAACACATGTGTTTATTGACTTTATAATCTAGAGAGGAGAGTTAAAATTGGGTACTTTTTACAAACGTTCGTAAAAACTTTTCAAATGATTGCTACGATGTCATTTTGGCTAAAAAGATGAAAATATGACGAGAAGTGGTTCATATCAAGTAACAAATTAATTGAAGTTGACTCAAAAACAATTAGCTCTCTATCATTGCATTTTTTGAAACTAAAATATATCGAATAAACATTTTTCAAGCAAATGTATCATTAAATTTCGTTTGTATTGACAAGCTCAGCCTAACTGTTAATTTGAAGATACTCATCACAAATTCGTGTGATATTTATAAATTGACAATGCAAGATAATGGTATGTTTGAGGCCACATTCAATTCATCTGTTGAATTTGATATTAAATTAAAACGAAAAAATGGGGAGATATACGTATTTAGTGGAGGAAATCATAAAATACCAGGTTTGTTTGAGAATTTTGAGATTAATTTTGCTTAGTTATTAAGTGTTCATTTATGACAAATAACTAGTAAATTCTAAACTACCGTAAGATGAAGCTTGCTGATGTATTGCCTGACTCATTATGGTTGAGTTTCACGATCTGTTGAGCTAAATTGAGTCTCACTGGTTCAAGATACAGAGTACTGAATATATTTTACATGTTGAAGATGAAGTATACTTGTTTTAGGTAGCTATCTTGTGTTTGATTAACTTCACATCAGCAACTCAACTTTTGTAATATACCGTAAGCCCTCTCATGATGGAGACAACCTTGATCGTTCAAGACACTCAACTCAAAGCCCATCCACATATGAGCCTCCATTTTGCAGATCATTCCAGCATAATGTCGTCCATGCATTAATCCCCCCCGCCCCCTGTATGAAATGTCTGTCTGTACTCTGTACTGTAAATTCTGCCAATTATAGAATTTATTTTTGTTTTCTGTAATGAATGGGACATGGTTGCATGTTTCGTGTTTTGTGTTTCAATAGAACTAATTTAAAACAAACTTATTTCTTTTTAAAGAAAAATATGTTTTGTGTGAAATAAATGGTGAGCCTTTTCACGCGGCAGAGTATTCAAGCATTGAAGATTTACAAAAACAAGTGATTAAAAGCAAAGATGTGTATCCATTAACATTGAAGTTCAATAAAAATTATGGCCTCCAGAAATGTGCATCACAGCACAGTCTGAAGGTTTGTGGATGATTTAAAAAATTTTATTTCACATACATTGGTAATTCACTTACATTTATGCCCAATAAAAATTCTTATAGTCATATATTTTTTCTGACCACTGACAAATGTATGACTGGAAGTTCTCGTCAATGTCTAATGAAATTACTGAAAAGGCCATGAAAATGACACATGTAACTCTTTTTTGTTTGTTTTAGTTCATTATAGTTTCATTGTGCAATGTCATTTTTATATGAGGATCATAAGAGGGGTGTTTAGGGCACTTATGAATCTTCTGGGCTCCAAGTTACATTGTTAAAAAGGCATTTTGCAGAGGCACTATGGTTGGTGCTGATTGAGAGCGAAAACAATGGCCAATTTTGCTATTTGTTTGACATTTATAAACTTTTTTGTTTCACCAAGATGTTGTGATTTTAAACAATTCCGATTGTGAGGTGAAAATTTTTTAAAGGGATGTAAAGTTTAGCAATAAAACTTTAATGAAAACTGATGTATATCTTGCAACATTCAAAATAAGGACAATTTTCTTGCTTCATCCTTCCCCTTTCCCACCCTTTCCCTATTCCACCCTAACCCTACCCCCCTTTCCCACTCTTCTTCATCCCAACCTTTGCCCAAATCTTTCACTGTTCAGAACACCTGCCCCACCCACCCTCTTCCACATCCCCTGCCTTAGGCCACCATTTATGCAGGCATAACAACCTGTAATAATCATGTGCTTTTAGCTGCCAGTTCCAGATGATTTCTTTGGCGACTATCTCGACCTCACTTCTGAAGAAGCTGAACAATATAAGAAGCTTGCAGAATCTTGGGTGGATGGTCTTATGGAAGCTGAATATTCAACTGAGGTTAGAGTCATGAAGAACGTCATCGAGCGCTCTTTGCATTAAGATGTCACTCTACTCAATTTAATTTCTTAATGCAAGTTTTTATTTGTGAAATGTGCATCAGAGTTCCAAATTTTGGTTTGAGGTTTATACTGTCGAAAGTTTGCCATTCGATTCTACAATATCAGAACAAAGAAATAAATAAATCCTTAGTTTCTGCCAGAGATAGAATCCTGTAGAAGCCACTGTTTAATGTAACGAACATTCTTAAATGAAAAATGGAGTATTGTAGAATAAGTTGATATCTGTAATCATTTTTGAAATTTCTATTGTGAACACGACATTTATATTTTAGATTTTTTCATAAATAATTGTGGATAATTACATGATTTTTAGGGATATTCTTACGTATGCACAAAAGATAATGTTGAAATTTATCAAGGAAAAGTACCAGGGAGTAAGGTATTTTACTTGTTTCTATGCACAACTGACTCAAAACGTATACAGCGTATTTTTCTTCTGGCAAAAAAGGGTTGTTGAACGTTTTTGTGTTTGCGAAACAAAAATAGCTGCTTCTGAACGTTGTCTTTAAGCTTTTCGCAACAATTGGATCTTCTCATCAGCGTTAAATTAAGTTCTGCTCATCAGTAGCAAACCGTGGTGTCCTTTCATTACATAAATTTTAGATCCATCTCATTCGCGGAAAATCAAAGATTCGAGCTACGAAAGAAGAAATGAAAGCAATGATGATATCGTCGTCTACCGACTCTTTCCGACGATTGTTTCACGTGATAGGTAATATGGTTCGTATTTAATGAATTTATTGTTACGTCCAAACGCGTGGAAATTGCGTGAATTTCTCCAACCCCAGTTGTTTCTGTCAACTAAGATATTTTTCTTACATCTCTCCTTGATATGTCAAAGAATGAAAGATACTGCTCGAAATTTTACTGACTTTTTTCGATATTTACTTTACTGTCAGTGTTTGTCGTGCTCTTAGTAATGTTTTTTCTCAGTTTCTATTAAGGAAGTTGCTATATAAATATGAAAAACGTTAATCACTTGTTATAGACGTGCATTTTTACGATGGTGTGTTGATGCATCTCATTCCTAAAGATTATAAACATCCTGATGTTCCTTTCTACTCCATAAAATGGGGTGTATTTGGTCAGGCTGGACCAGTCAGTTTACGAGATGTTTGTTGGCTTGAGTATGGAGATATTAGGGTAGACGAGAATGGCAAGGAATATGGTTTTGGTGTGGTAAGTTGTTGTGTTGGTTGATTACATTGGATTGGAAAACACCAAGTTCATGGAAAAGAGCAAGCACGATTTAATACACGAAACTTAGAAAAACGCTAAATAAATCTTTTTTTGTGTAGCAGAATGTGATAAGACTGGCATCTTTACTAGTTTTTTATGGCTGGAAAACAAACTTTCCACTAATTTTGATTCTATTTACTAGGGATCGTCTATTAAACGACCCGAATGCCCAGAATTGAGTCATTTAAATTTGGTTCGTGCTGAAATGCTCTGCTCAGGCTACGTATTCCGACAGAGTGATCAACCCGATATACTTGATGTTAGTATAATTTACTTTGGATATTTATGGTCATGTTAGTGAAGCTTTCTTATGAGTGCAACAGCTAGAGTTCTCATATTCCCTTCCTATTTGTCTTGATTAAAAATAATATGTGTTGGAAATACTATATTTTTCTGTCATGATCAAAATTGATAAAGTTGGTTGGCGATAATAACATTTGGTGCTTTTTAGGTAATTGGAATTTGTTTAAAAAGTGATATTAAAATTTTTTTGTAGGTGACCTACATAATACAAGCAGATCCTAAAGGTTGGCTCCCAATCTGGGCTATTAATCTGTTTGCCTGGCAAGAAGCTTTAAACTTAGCCAGAATAAGATCGAGTTGCGAGGTACTTAAATAGTCGTTCTTTCATTTGATTGAGTGTAATGTAAGTTTGATAAAAGATTTGACTTTTTGCACTAACCTCAAATGAGGTTGTGTATTGCTGTCAACGGGTTGGGCTGCAAATTCTCCTCTTGAATTTGAATTTTTTTATATTTAGTTTATTTCATGATTTTATCCTATCACGTCTAGATACTTACTGACTTTATTAGTTTTTTCATAATGCTTTATATCAATATATTTTATATCAGGGTATTATGAAAGCAATGAAAAAAATTGATCGTCTTCACGACAGGCAAGGAGGTAAATATTTGAACATAATCGGAACAAGAAGCCAAACCTTTTAGAAAAATTATATATCGTGAACATGATGCTAGTTTGACATTGCTGAATCAGCTCTCTCGAAATATTTTGGTTTCGTTTGTACAACTTTTTGAATGGTGACGGATAAAGGCATCTCAATTTACGCAAAGAAATTTTTTTTCTGAATTTCTGTTTGCAATTGGCTAAATATGAATCCAATTAGATTTGAAATGAACTTTGGATTTAAGAATGAATGTTTATTGAAAATCACGGTTCAAGCATGAACTGTTCATTTCAGCTGCAGTACAAGGTGTACTCGTACCTCGCAGTCAATTTTACGATGTTCACATCAATGTCGATGTATGTGGTTCTTTGATATTTGGTTTTTGCTCTGAGAAAAATAATATAAGGTACATTTTGTCTCTTTAATAGTAAATCAAACCAACGGAATAAACCTATTCACTGTTTAAGTGCATAGTCTAGTAAAGCCAATGGAACAAATGCTATTTAATATCAATTATTTTCCAGTTTTCATTTGCTTGGTGTGCCAGACGACAATAATTGGGCTGTTAACAAACGCTATGATTGTAATCTGAATCCTGTTTATGGAAAAGTGAGTACAAAAGCTGATATAATGAATAAGATTTATACAAATGTTGCTTGGAATCACATTCTTCTATTTATTTACCCCATGCACAAATATGTTTTCGTTAATTTGCCTTTCGCCTGGACGTAAATTGTTTTTGTACTGTTAATGTTGTTCTAGTGGACAAATAACTGACTTACCCAGAAACTCCCACTGGATCAATATTTATATATATAAATACATTTCTGTTGACTTTGCCATGGAAACACTGAAATATAATAATTTGCTTTGCAATTTTTCACTCTTCGCTCACAGGTTTCCGTGACGAAAGGAAAATATGCTCTACATTTGGATAACACATTTAGTTGGTTGACATCCAAAATGGTTTATTATTGGTACGAAGTAATTGTGTAACTGACCAATTTCCAGTCATGTAGGCTGTAGCTGGGAAAAATACTTCTTTTTTAACATAACTCGTCGATATGCCAATAAGTTTTTTTTTACGTTTTTTTTCTATAAGACCTTTTTATGTAAAAGACTTTATAAAAATGAGGTCGCCAAACGATCAAAGAGATTTACTAAGACAGCTTTGAAATACGGATTCTCTAAACATAACTACCTCGAGTTCAAAAAATACTGATTCTCTAAACTTAACATCGAGTTCAAAAAAGCGACTGTCTTGCGTATTTCATTTTTCCTTGAACTCACGCGGGAGCGACAGAATACACAATCCATCTATTCGTCCATTCATAAGTTTGTATTTTATTTGTGTTGGCTATGTACTAAACCATCTTTTCTAATCAATTGCCTTAATTAATAAACGTGTATGCATTGTCTTTATGAACGCGAAAAGAATATACTTCGTCTCTCATTCTTTCATACTCGAATCAATTATTTTGTGGACATGTATTGCGAGTGTGTCCTGGTTGGCGACAAATACCACAGCATCTTGGTTTTCTGCTTTCTCTCTTAGAAGAATGCGAGTTTTGTTGTGCATTTGTTCCATCGACCCATTCGAAAAAGTTACATGACTGTCCTGGAGGCTTCGAGCAAGTATAAAATTGACGATCCTTGTTTGGACCGTGCTTTAGGACTGTCCTTACAACAACTGCATTTCGACATTGACACAACTTTTGATTTGCAGCTTCAAAAGTTCTTTTACGTCTGTTTGGCGTATGAACATTGATCTGCTGACTATTTCCTGGGTTGTTATCTTCCCACAAAAAAAAGTCACATCCCTTCACTTCGCAAGAATAAAAATTACGACCTTTATTCGCGCTCTCTTTACGGACGGTGCGCACGACTGCCGTTTTATTGCAATTACACAAAATTTTCGTAGAGCTGTGAGTAAATCCTGGTCTGTTATTTAGTGTTTGTAATGGAGGACGTTGCAGTTCACGTGGTTGTGAAGGACATGGTTCGTGTCGTGGTTCACGTGGAGGTGCATATCTTGGTCCTGGTGGAGGTTTGTGTCTTGGTTCACGCGGTCGAATGCTACCGCCTCGTTGATTTTCACTGTTGTTATATCGTGCATTTCTAGCGATGTTGTTAGAAACATTTTGTTGACTTCTAGTGGATGAAACCACAGACTTAATTCTGAAATCTAAAAGTTCTCTGAGATCTTGGTCGCATAGTATACATGAATGATATTCTAAATTCATCATGGGTGGAATCGAACCTGGTTTAAACGTAAATTTCATTTTATACACGGGCCTTGGAACACAACGTGTACACTCTATTTCCGTTACGTCAACATCAAGCACAAAACGAGGAAGAAAGGCAACCGACTTGCAATCAGGGTAGCGCATACACCTAATAATAAAAAAGCCCTCCTGCGTCTTCTTTGTGCACATTTGGGCTTGACATGTGGGACATGGAAACACTGGTTTGTTATGGACTATTTGAGAGGCAATAGGATCTTCTGTAAGTTCCTCGGGATGTCCAAAGAATCGTGCTAAAGCGTTGTCTAACTGATTGACGTGCTCACAAGTTTGTACAAACACTTCTTTATATTTATCGATTTGCTGTAGCAGAACTACCTCCTTATTCTTTTGGCCAAGACAAATCTTCTTGAGATCAGCTTCCAATTCAGCACGAAGATGTGGTTTTGACATTTCAAAACCCATTGCGTCGTAACCTTCGACAAGACCCATACCAAGCTCTCCTGGAATAAACTTGCCATCCGGCTGTACACCGACATAGTTTCTCTGCTTTATCTTTTCAATATGTTCGGCGTGCGTCGCATCTGTACCTATACCGTGCTTCTCCATCAGAGCGATAAGATCTGCCTCAGTCAGCAATGAAGGCGGCTCTGTCTGTCCTTCTATCATGTCAATTGAAGAAGGCGTGAAAGTTTCGCCTTTACGATATACAGGTATTGTCTTGTCGCACCATTTATCATAATGATAAACCTCAAGGTAGTTCCTAGCAGTGATAGATAATCCTTTCGCTGTAAATTTCTCTCCTGCTATATCAATTTCCACTGTTGTTTCGACTCCTTGTGCATCCTTTGAGCAACATGCGAGAAAGTGCCGAACAATAAATTCGTATAACCTTTTTTCATTTCCCTGTAATGTTCCTGTGAACTTTGTAGGATGGATAGGCGGATGGGCATTGTCTGTCTTTGTACCTTGACGTGGATTAGCACCTTCAGTCAATAGGTTAGCTGCAAATTGTCCCCAACTGTTGTCAACGGTTTGATGCCGAATGAGATCGGTCAGATCAAGAGAAGAAGGAAAGATATTGGTCTCAGTACGCGGGTAACTGATAAAACCTTGATTGTATAACTTTTCTGCAATTCTCATTGTCTCCTTTTGTTTATCCTTAGCTTTCTCGAAGCAAGTTTCTCCAATTCCACAGTGTCAAGAGGTAGTGGTCGCCACTTGCTTTTTGGTTTGGAAGTTTGATTTACAACAGTGGCCAAAGGATTCTCGAGACAACATTCATGTAATACTGCACATGCTAAACGGTGAAAAAGACGAACTCGCTTCCAATGAAATTCCGCTTCTCCATCAATAGTGACATGTTTTACTTGGATTTTATAAAAGGTTTCAGAAACGAATGCAACAATCTCCTTGAAACGTTGCACGACAAAGCCAAGTGTTGGAAACTGACAGCTCCCATAGCTAATTAATTGATCGCTAAGAACGTTAGGGAAACGTTTCTGTAGTCGTAAAGTTTGAAATCGAGTAAATGCTGCTCCTATTCTAAGATCTAGTTCCTGTCTCGCATCAACGGCAAATGATGTGTTCTCGTCTGGTCTGATCAAATTATTACAAGCTCTAGTAATTGATGAAGCTGTAATTTCCGAGAATCTGGCGCGGTGCACTTCGATACAGGGTTTGATTGCCTTGCAAACTTCAATGATTTCAAAACCAATATTTTCACCTTCCCGATCACAGTCAGTCCAGATTATCAAAGCTTGACATCGACGAACCTCTCTCTCAAGGGTCTTCCTAATATTGTCCATTTTCTCTTGGACTTTCTTCTCAATAGGTGCTGTAAACAGGGCCAAAGGTTGACAGCTTTGCCATTTTTGATAGCCAGCAGAGAATTCTACATCCATTAAGTGTCCAGATACTGACGTCATTGTCATCTGGCATTGTCGCCCAAATAAATTATAATGATACTCATAGATTTTATTGTATACAGACATCCCTTCCCGTCGACTATTTCCACCACGGGACATGATTCGTGCAATTTCCCTTGCGGCATCATTTTTCTCTGCCACATTAAGAACCCTGTACGACATTTTATCACTTTCTATAATAAAAGGGTGGAACCATTAAGTTGTCACTCTTCTTATTTGACATGGGTAACACATTGAAAAAGTGCTAAAGTCATTTTTAACATTTGTGAGTTATGTGTGTTTATTTCTCTTATAGACAGTCACTCATGAGTTATAATTATCTCAGTTTTGTTTATACATTTGTCAGAGTATTACATAAATTTGACAAAGGATTTCTTTGGTTGCAGTTCAAATTTTATTGAATATTGTAATTGGCTCTATCTACGTAGTGTAAACAATTCTGCATGTGCTTACTTGGACAATTTTTTAAAAAATTTTTCTAGATTACCTAAAACATACTTTGCAAATAGTGCCACGATAAAAAATATGATAAATGAAAATTGGAGTTAAATTAATTTGATTACTATACGAAATAGCACAAGACAAGATTAACACTTCACATTCCACGAAAAACCTAAGCTTAAAAAAAAGAAATCGGTGCTTTAGCTTTTGAAACGAAGTCGATCGTGAGTACAAATGCAAAAGATTACTATTAGAGGTAGATGAAGATGATCCATGAAACCTAGCCTTCACTTGTTAACAACGATCTTTCAATTGATTCCATAAAAAAACATGATATCTCTTTTCTACTGCATTCAAAAACTACATACCTTAACAGCATCCGCCAAGAGTTGAGAAATTTTTAGTAATATTGTAATACCTCAACAATACAAGTGAGAGGTAGCTTTTGAGGCGGTTGCCATTTTGATTTTTCCCGCATTTATATAATATATTTTATACTATCCTGCTTTTGAGGCGAGAAGGTTGCAGGCAGGCAGGCAAGAACTGACTTTATTTTTCTTAAGTATTACATGAAATTTAATCTTTACAAAATGCCTTATAGCAAAAGATTGATTTGACAGACCAATAAAGCGAGGGAATTATCAATCATGAATCTTTGATTTCTGTTTTATTTTACATTTTGATTTATACAAATATATATAAACTTTCAACTATCACAGTGATTTATGGGACTAATGAATTTCGTTACCAGTTCTCAGTCACAACACTACAAAGATGGTGAACATGGCTACAAGTTCGGTGAAAAGAAAACCTGAAGAAGACTTTGCAATTGTTGCTTCTAAAGACCGAAGCAAAATGACTTGGCATTAGAAACGTGCAGCAAAGTATCATGCAAAGGGTGAGAAATTTAGAGAGGATTATATTGTATCCTTTACTCTGTATTTCTTGTTTTATATTCACTGTAAAATTTACGTTATTTGGTTGTTATTTTTTTGCTTTCTTATTCATTGACTTAACTTCTTTGATTTTTTGCAAGTACTTTAGCTACGTATTATATGTTAACGTGCAGTGTCCATTATCCATAGCAGATAATATTTCTCTGATTTTGTTGAGAATGAGAACTGTATAGCCGTTACAGCCACTACCGTGAAATTGGCACCACATTGGGCACCACATTCAACACAACATTCATCACAACATTCATCACCACATTCAACTAAAATTTATCATTCAAAATGATAAATCAAAAAATCGTCTTTAAAACACGTTTTCCATCAAATACAACAGTAAAAAATAATTCTTAACTGTTTATTACTATTTTACAGTCCTTAAACATCACAAAAAATGTATAAAAGTCAAGAAATTGAAGAAAACACTAAGATTTATATTACAGTGTACTTTCCATTTCTAAATAGCCTATAATTTAAAAACTACACGGTAGAATTTTTTAAACTTGGCCAGAATATAGATAATTATATTGTCTAAAATATATCCAAAATCTGAGGTGGCACAAAAATAAATGATAGAAAATCATCGACAAAGTCGGATGACACGAATGCGCGTAATATAATCTTATATAATTAACTTCCTATATCCATGTAATTTTTCAAAGAAAGGCCTATAAATAAAAACTACACGGTAGAA